ATATTAGAACATGAAAAGGAGTATATCATTGCAGATGCACCTATCAGAAACACCAATGCAGTGTATCGCCATAAGGAAGGTGATTATTACTTGTCATTTGGAGGGTCAACTGCAATTCATCCATTGAACCCAAACACTGGTCCTATATTGCCAAAGTACATTCCTATTGCTGAAGTTCCACCAACAAGCAGTGAAGATGATCGTTTTGGTAAAATATACTTTTCTTTTGACATGTTTTAAAACCTATCTGTTGTTCTTAAGAATGTCCTGATGTTGTGATTATGAAAACAGACATCCTTGGAGTTGTGGTGTATATGGAAGATGTGCGTAGGAAAAAAACAACCAGTGGCTATGAGTTTGATGTGCGCGATGTTATTGTTGTGGATGATAGTGTGCAAAAGTCAGTGTACTTTCATGCAAATCTATAACAACATCAATTTATTTTATTATTAGTTTATTGATACCTTGCTACATGTGTAGGCTTCGCGATGGTCTTGTTATTTCTCTGTATGGAGAACTTGCTACAAAGGATTGTGCTAAACTGACAGCCTGGTGTGAATCTTACATGATTGTTAGCTTCCGGCATCTGCAGCCTGCAACCCATACTGGTTTAAGCTTCTCTTGTTGTTGTTATAATGCCTGATAGATTATATGTGTGCATTGACTTATAGATTTTGCTCTAGGGTTTTCGTTGTCATCATCCATGTCAACAACAATTGATACTAACCCCACTGGACCGGAAGTGAATGCATTAAAAGCTTGGTAAGTTCATACATTGTATACATCAATTGAGGTTGACTTTAAATAATTCTTACTTAATCCTTATTTTGCTTGATATAGGGTACTAGAGAATCAGGATCGTCTTTCTGTTCATATTGGTCATCAGTTATCAATTAGGGAGGGCAGCAACTCTGATGTTATTATGGCTATCAAAGATCTGAACAAGAAAACGGTTGTTATATTTTGTTTTATTCTATACATAATTTATTTCTTGACACGACATGTTTGATGTAAGGTTATTGTTTGCAGTCAACTACAGCAATTGCATATGAACGTCACTGGCTTAAGGTAACAATTCCAGATGCCAAAAAGGAAGATGTTAATGCTCATATTGGATGTAATGCATGTGGGAAACATTGTGATAATGTGGAAAATGTCAAGTTTTATTGTGATGTTTGCAATGCTCAATGCATTGCAGAAAAGAGGTACATGTTACCAGCCATAAGTTGATTCATAATGCATAGCTTTATATTATTAACTAAATGTATTTCTTTGCAGAGTCAGTATGACTTTCACTGCAGCTGATGACACTGATAGCATCCGTTTAACTGCATATGGGAAGCAATGTGAGGCCTTGCTACGTCTTAAGGACACTGAACTTATACAGAAGAAGGTATATATTTTTATATTCTTGAATATGTTGTTACTTCATTTCACTACTAACTTTAGTATTATTATTTGTGGTTTCTATGTTATTTAACAAATGTGATTTCATGTGCAGCAAACAGACTGGCCTGAGTTTGAATCCATAGCTGCTGAGTTCAAAGAAAACCCATTTAAGATCGAAGTAGGTCCAACTGGTGCAATTAGGAGGATTGGTTATCTGAAATGGGTTGTGAAATCTGTTTTATTCGAGTGATGTTCCAGCTGCTTAGACATTGGGCTTCCGGTAGGAACACCATTCTTTGGCATCAACCACTTAGTTATTTTGGATGTGTTCCTACTTGACACCTTTTACAACATTGCTATATTACAAAACTTTATTTCATAAATTTGGTTATTTCCTAAATGTCTTGTACTTTTGAACTATTAAAATGTTGTTATTTGGTTTTCTTTTGAATTCTACTAGGTTGTTTTTGGCATATTTATAAACACCTTAACTACCTATTGTTGTATTTGCTATCTGATAAGTTTGGTGTTATAAGGTAACTTATCATGAGCTATGGCAACATTATTTTTATTTCATGGTCTTATGAAGTGCTTTTCTTTGTTTATACAATATGGTTTTCTATTGTACTAAATTAGAAATGTTATACTTTCATGAGCTTATGATATAGCTTACTTCCAAGCTGTTATGATCTAAATGTATGCATCGCAAAAAAAAATTGAACGCGATAATTTATAACTAAAGAACTCATTATTTACTGCATGGATTTCTAATTAAACACCCATTACTACATAATATTTCGCATAATCTATCATATCTTATCATTCTTACTTAATTTAAACTAATATAAACTACTACCAAAACCAATAATCAATGCTTGCTCTTTCACAACCTTCTGGATACTTATCTTGACACAATGCGGGAGTCTTCACCGTGCATAATTGTTGCTTCACCCGCATTAGTGGTAGCAAGCATTGCTCCTTCAGTCACTTGTGCTGTGCACATTGAAGCTTGACTTTGCTCAACCAATGATGCAGAATTATCACAGTCACTCTGAATACTATGCTTAATCTTTTTCCCTTTTTTGGTCATTTTGATTTCAGAAATTTGATTTTTAACCTCATGTAAATGCATTTCTAGATCTACTATTCTTTTTCTAACATCCAAGCAAGTGATCTTTGCATTTGACAATTTACCCTCTAAGTGAGCTTCTTTATATAAAAGCTCTTGAAGCTTAGCTTCTATCTTGCGTTTTTGGCAAATAGAAGTTTGCTTACAAACTGAAGATAAATGCTTTTCTGCCATGTGAAAAAAATGAGCCTGTAGAAAATACTTTGGTTGCCTAACTTAAATAGCACTCATATATAGAGTTCAATTGTAAGGTACCAAAAAGTAGTCACCATTTGTTATAATCTTAATAGCTATTCAGCAACAACAAACACAACAACCTATTATCTAAAGGGTAAATGACAGCATGTCAAGTTTCAAAAAGCTGTATGAATTACAATCTTAGCAAAGCTGGTTGCAACTCAAGAAGTCACTTATCATGTCACATAATAACCCTTGACAATGTATGAAGACAATACATTACCTGCTGGATATATTGAATAAAAGTGAATGACTAGGTAAGAAGAAATATAAATATATCTACCATAATTCAAAGAAAATAGATTAGTATACTTTATATCCTGATATTGAAATCAGAACATCAATAACATAGGCATTTCTAAATCATGTTTCAAAGTGAGCTGCAATTTAATATTGTTTACTAGGCTACTTTATATTGTAGATTAAATTAAGCTTATCTAATTATCTTACCTTAATTTGCTATTTTTCATGCAAAGATTTGTTTTAATGATAATGTATTCAGCTCCATTATCTTCCTACTTACATAAGTAGCTTCATTTTTAATAGCTTCATTGTTACTATGTATCTGAACTTTACTTATTTTGTGCCTACTTATATAAGCAACCTACTTCAGTAGCTTTACTATGCATCTAATGTATACCAAAATATTGTTATCTTTTGTTACTCTATCATTTTCTGGAGAGAGTAAATCAAAATTGACAAGTATTAAGAGAATAAAACATTAAAAGTAAACTCAAATATGTAAAAAAAAAAAAAAAATAGATAGTAAAACATATAGAAAGATTAAAGTATAAGTCAATCTTAGGGGCAAAATCAGGTGCACATAAGCTAATAGCAACTTTGCATAAAAATTACTTTAGTAAAGTATATAGCCAAAATTGGGTGCACACTACCTAAAAAAATATATTGCATAGGTATCACTTTAGCAGTGTAATTCAATTGGTGATTATATATAATTAGACTCAAAATTAGGTGCATAGTAAAACTTATACTCTGACCTAGGATTATATAGAAGAATAATATTTTAGTCTACATTACCAACAAAATCAAACATAAGGTAGTAGATATCTTAACAACATGCACCAAATATGTAATGCCATGTTATTTAATATTCTAGATTCATAAGATAGGAATCTTATAGCATTATGTAAAGTTTTGCTTACTTTATTTGCATTCTATATGTTGCATTTAATATAAAAAATTTAGTATCTACTATAAAAGAGCATATCATTGTATATTGAGTGTTTAGGAAAGCTAAAAATCAAGTATAAGCAGATATCAATGTAGATATCTACAGTTCAAAGGACACAGAACAAGCAACCTTTGTAAAAAAAGCATACTCAGAACATACAACATCATGACTATTATAATAGCATAATTTAATTCAACTGCAACATAATTTCAAAAGTGTAAATGAATCAAACTTAAGTAATCATCTTATCTAATTCTGCAGTTTTTACAAGCATGATCATTAGTTCAATACAGATTAATTATGAGTAAAGTGTTTAATAAAGTCAAATATTTAACTCAAAAATGTTGTTTATAAAATATATATTTACATTATGTTTAATTCTAAGTACTATTCTTAAGCTCTAATCCTCCTATTTACTGATCATCTCTCTGCTATTGTATGTCTTTTTTGCTATTCTATTTCCTGCTAGCTATTCTATTTCTTTTTTGGTGTGATTCTAATTAATGCTATCAATGTATACTAAATATATATTAATTTGCCATTGCTAGAATGGAAACACCTTAAAGGTATTCTAACACTATAATAATCATAAGTATAAAAATAGAACTATTTCATTTAACTCATTAGTTATAATTTCTCATTCAAGTCAAGTGTATGTATATATAAATTCCATATCAACTTCCATCGTGATTCACATAACTCACAAAAGTACCTCATTAACAAGACTTATCATTCTTAAATAAGGTAATGCACAATCCCATAAAAAAACAATACAAAATATTTATGTACCAATCAAACATAAAAATTGGATTGTTTCATAAAATCACAACACAAAATGATTCACCAATTTAAACCCAACTATTTATATACTATTCAAACTTAATAATGTCATACAAAATATTCATATCCATAATCAAGGTCAAATGCATATAGCCATAAGACCTATATAACCCAAAAACTATTGTTCACTTAAACAAACCAAAATAGATAAAAGTAATTCTTCCATTACAATTCACATATACTATTTAATAATATAAATCTTAAACAAACTAATCAATCAGAATTAAAGCCATAAGCATCGCTGTTAGAATGAGAAACCTCAGGGGAGTGATAATGGTATGGGTAACCAATATCCTCTTCTGAGTCATTATTATACCATGAATCTTCTTCCTCTGCGCTTTGCTCCTCCTCGCTCTCCTCTTCTGCTTCCTCCTGTGACCCCCTTTCCTGCTGCTGTTGTAGCCCCTGCTGCACTGCATCAGCACTCTGAACCCCAGCAATCGGTTCCTCTTCCTCTGCTTCAGAAAACGCCGCCACCGTTGAATCAATTACATGCTTCACTATGTCCTCATCGTCGCTGATATCCATATCAGCCTCCCCTCCTTTAACCTCCGCATCAAAAGCCAATTTACCACCACCGCATTGATCCCTAATTTTAGACGGCTCACCTTGAACACCCACATATCTTATCATTCTCACTGGCTCGTCCTCTTCATCAGAATCGCATTCAATTTTAATTGGAGTATCATAATTACTTCCAGGATCAGGTTCTTTACCCTTGCCTTCGGGGATCACCTTCTTTTCCTTGCTCTTCCTCTTAGCAACTTCAGTGCACTTAGCTAATTGTGCATCACAATCTTTCATTTGATCCATCAATTCACCGAGTTTCTTTGTAGCTTCAGTTTGGACATTTGCAGTTGCGACATATTGGCCACGCAAATTATCCTTGCGCTTCTCTAAAAAATTTATGTACCAATCATTAAAAATAGTATCATCATCCTCATTTCCAGCCATGGTTATGAGTTACTTTTCTACTGAAAACACCAGAGAAGAAAATTAAAATAAAAAGAAAAGTTTCTCAACTTTCGAAGAAAAGCAGAACAAATAAGAATAAAAGAAAATTAATGGTTTTCCAACTTCCAAAGAAAAGCAGAGCAAATTTTGGGAAACGTGTGATGATCAATTCTTTCTTTTATTATAGAGCAAACCGTCCCTAATAAACATCACGTCTTTTCAATTGTCTATCATACCATGCAGGAGAAGAAGAGTTGCATTGTCTCATATAACGCACCTGTTCGAGCATACATTTCGGTTATAGGCGTACATATAAATAATCTCAAAATAGATACGGAGTAATTTTTTTAAACATATACAAAAAGACTCTTATACTATAGTTTTACAATTTATTCCAACACTTTTAAGTGAACAAATTATTTTAAAACGTATTTAGTTTGAACAATTTATTTTAAGTTGATATTAGACAATTTATGTTAATCATGACCATTTTCAAGATCTAAATTAATCTTAAGGATTGGACAATTTTTTTTAAATATAATTGTGTACTTATTATTATAATATTGTCGTTTAGTCTATTAGACACTATAAATTTATATAATATAATTCAAATTTTCGGATATGATCCAAGTAAAACTGAACTTTAATTCAAATTGGATTGGGAAAGTAATTCGGATCAGATCAAAATTGAAAATTAAAAACCGAATTATATTACGGATCGGATCGGATTTGGCCTAAATCTGAACCAAAAACAAAAATTACAATTTGTTCCAACACTTTTATTTTTTAACATCTTGGTTATATGCCTATATATAAATAATCACAAATAGATAACTTTATTTAACACATACAAAAAAACCTTTATACTATAATGTTACAATTTATTCCAACTCTTTTAAGTAAACAAGTTATTTTAATACATAATTAGTTATATTTAGTATATTTATAAGATAAATTATTTATAATTATTGCAACATTTTTAAGTGGACATGTTATTTTAAAATATTATTTTTATCACAATTTCTTTTACTAGAATATTTAATGTAATATATTTATAAAACCAATCTTAATTATTCAAGAAAAGTTATTTATTGGTCAAGGTATACTCTATTACCCAAAATACTCTTATTTGCTCTGCCAAAAAAAAACTTGAATAGACATGGAAAACGAATAGACACTTCGATTGATATAAGATATAAGATATATATACTTAATATAATTCTTACATACCAAAAGATTTTCCCTTTCATTTTTTATAAAACAAAAACTTTAAAATGGCTGGAAACAATGGAAGGTCTTCTTTTCCAGATGCATACCGTCGGTATTTAGAGAAAAGGAGATCAAATTTAATAGGGCAATTATCAGCCAATTTCGAGATTCGAATGGAAGCAGGGCGCAAGTGTGATGAATTAATGGAAAAGCTTAAAAAAGTTGATGAGGAATTGGCTAATTGTGATAAGTTTGATGAAGATAAAAAAGGTGAGATGAAGCCTAAAACCAGGGACATCTCTACTGGTGTAATTGAAATCGACACCGATAGTGAAGATAACACTGCTGGTGTTATCAAAAAGAACTTTGTTGTTGGTGAGTCATCTACAAGGCAGGGTATAATTGCTGAGGAGACTGAGAATGAAGATGATACTGGTGAAGCAAGGGAAGTCGATATGGAAATCAGCAATGGAGATGATCAAGTAGAGAGAGTTGACAACGCAGTCCTTGTTCGTGCAGAACAAGCACCACAACAACATGCAATGAGTGAAGATGCTGCTATTCAGATGGATCAAGAGCAACAACAGGCACAGGCTGAAGAGGAAGAGGAGCCAGAACATCCAGGGGAAGAAGAAAATGAGCAAGAAGCTGATCAAGGTATAGAAGTGTCAGATGTTGATTCAGATGAAGAAGTTGGACATTATTATCCATATCATTATCATTCTTCTGAAGGTTATGAGAGTGATAGTGATGCATATGGATTCGATTCTGATTAATTAGGTAGATTCTAAACTTGTGATGATAACCTTTTGAACATGTTTAGGTTAGACTTTTATGATTGCCAGGCCATTTTGTTAATATATGCCAGTAATTGCTGTAATTGATGGTTAATTTGGCTTGTGAAGTTATGGACTAGCTTATTTTGTTTTGTATTGCAATGTAACTCATGAATCTAATAGTTTTTCATATCCTGAATTAGATGCCTTGTGGTATCAATTACATTTAGCATTAATCTATTTTGTGTGTGTTCTGTGATATATTGAATTGCTTATTACTTAAATTAATCAATTATTATGCTCATTATAAAATCATTAGGCTACCTATTAAATTTTAGAAACTGACCACATTAGTTTATTATTAAGCAATTGAAGTATTCAGATCAGGGGAATTAGTTGTTATACAATAATTTGTGAAGCTGCGATTTGTGAAGCAATAATATGCAACAAGTACTCATTTAGAATTCATAGACAAGTAGTCCTAAAATAACAAATCACAATACTTCATGCTAGCTAAATACTTAATAAACAATACACTCAAGTAGGTATCAACTCTTACAGGCACAACATTTTACAGCTAACTTAGAGAGCCTCAGTAGCTAATTTTGACTAGCTTGATAAATCTTACAACCATAAACACAGTACGTCATATATTTAAGACAAATGAAACCTACAAAGGTACCCCCACTTTAAAATGAACCTCCATGTGAGGCATCACATCCACTTGAGTATGATGGATTAGAGTGATGATGAATTTCAGAATTAAGAAAAAAGGTTGAGCACTGTGGGTGCTGGTTTCTCCCTGAGGTTTCTGCTTTGGTTCATTTTTGACAGGGTTAATAGAACATCTTCTCTTTGGACTAAGTTCCCTGCCTTTTGGTTCACCAAAACATAGAGCAGCAATAACAACTTCTAGCTCTCCTACTTTCTGTTCAAGATGCTTAACACGTTCCTCCAACCCTTCTAAGTTGGTATATTTTCCTACCTCACACTGATCACTATCACAGCCTTTCCCTTACCTTTACTTTCCATAAAAATAGGGTTATGTTTTTTGGACAGCAGGGTAGTATTTTAGATAGTGAATGCATATGAAAAATGAGGTTTCTAGCACTCTACTCTTCTATTATATAAGCTAAGTAAGGTATACTATATTACTTAGGGGTTAATTGGTGGTACTTTAAATAAATTTCACAGGCCTATTATTAGATTATTCTTTCCATTATTCTCTGAGCAACAGATTGTACTCTTAAAATATACAAGTTATAGCACTATACAGCTAATGTAAATCTAAAGTGAAAGTAATTTGTAAATATTTATGTTAAAGCATTCATAATAAGTCATACAATAATTTAAAACTAACAGTACAAATACTTAAGCTGAATTCTGACTATCATGCTACTTTTATTATATCCCTAAAGCTTAACAATGATTAATCATTTTAAGTAGCTCACACTAAAACAAGATCTATATCAAACACAGCAGGCTGACCTTCTCTAAACTTAATTAATGCACCTTCATCTACCTGAACGTTGTAACGATCAGTAAATTCCCTAACGCCGCTGTATAATTCACACTTAATAATAAGACCATCCTTCCACACAACTTTCAGCTTTGCAACAATTTGCTCATCCAAATTTTGAAGCACTACATTAGTTGAATCACCAAATCTGCTTAGCCAATTGTTAGCAAAATCAACAGGAACATTCTGCAAACAATGAAATTAAAGCAAATAAGATTCATTCATAAAAAAAAAACTGTAACAAGCAATATACTTTACCACAAACAATGCTTATTAGCAGTACTTCCTGCTTTCTTAAGGTAAGGTGCAGTGAAAATAAATTTAAAATGTGGCTCAGAACAACTACGTGCAAGGTCATCAATCCATGCATTTGTCTCAATCATCTTTGTTGAACTACCATCATAAGCAGGTCTGCGACCACGCCTCTTGCTTGAACTACCAATGCTCTTATCGCTTCCTTGGGCCTTTTTACTTCCTGATGACCTTAAAATTTGCACAATTAAAGTGCTCTCTCCTATATATTTGAACGTTAAATTATCCCCAGTACTTATTCTATTATCTCTAACAAAATCAGCCCAACCACCTTCCAAAATAGTTTTCCAACCATCTTTGTCTTCTTCATGTGCCATAGTAGCTTCCCAAACTCTTCCATATTTATGCAATTGCAGATCAACTCCTTGCAAACCATCATACAAAATGTTCTTAAACTCATCAGGAATGCGCTGCAAATTAATAAACATAAATAAAATACCAATTCAATATATAAATAACAACAGCCATAAGCAATTCAGACAGTAATCTAACAAAACCACATAACTACAACTCATAATAGCAAAAATATATCAAAAATTATAGATGTCATACCAGCTTATCTTTGAGATCATCTTCATAACATATGCTAAATGTCATTGCAGAATTTGCCATTGCAAATCTTAGATCAGTTGCAAGAGTTTTTGTCAATTTTACCTTATGAACACAATTTAATGACAAATTTATGCTATAATAAACACTGCCATATATATAACAAGATTATTGCTAGGAATTTATAGCATATTAATTAGAATTAAATTTTCTTTGACAAGCAAGTACTTGAATAGATCTGTTTTCAGAAACTGAAGCAGACCTTAATTTCAATATGCCTTCCCAATGGTCATACTAGCAATAATTACAAGTCAAGTAAATTCAAAAGGAGTAAAATATTTGCACAAGTACCACAATAGCTTAGTATCCTCTTCATATACTCATTAGTACTTCTCACTTCATATTCCGAAATAACTTATTCCATTTTTTTTTATAATCGGAAATAATCAAATACATAAACTAAGTTACAGTATACATAGTATGTAACACTTTCATATTTTTTGATGGATAACAATCCTAATTTATGTTGCCGGTTTACTTTTCTCAAATATATCTTCTTCCATACTCAATTCCTATCGTGATTACTTTTCTTCTTTTGATGAAGAATGATTCTAATTCAAATTACGTACAATGTAGGTGTCAATAATATAATTGTTATTATAATCAATTTCAATTTTTCGTTTATTTAGAGTTACTCAAACAGAAAAATAATGCATGCAATATAAATAATTTAATACACTTATGACTCGAGATTGTTAAATTTTATATCCCTATTCAAATTAGTTAGAGTTTATACAAATTAAAGTAAGACCAAATAAAAGTAATATTGAATTATAAAAATATTATTATATATGTAACTATTTCCTTTCCCGCTCGATTTGCAATGTGGTGCGCGCACATCACGCGCGTTAAAAAACTAGTAATAAAAGAAAAAAGAAAAATCTCCGTTCTCTTTCATCATCGTACACACTCGAACTTACAAGGTACAAACCCTAATTAGCAAAAACTAACCCTTTCATTAAATCTCCCAAATTCCGATTCCAATTCCAATTCGAAACTTCTTTTCCCCCAAATCACTCTTCAAAACCCTACATTTTCGTTTTTCAATCGAAATTTCGAATCGAACTCAAAAAAAAGCAATCGGAATCATATTCAAATTTGAGGTAATAGATCGAATGATGGGTAACACTAGCGAAAACACAGAATCACAAAAATTTCGATTGTATGGGAAGACGAAAATGCCAGAGCTTCAACGTGGAAATTCAGTCAAAACGACGACGAATAAGAAGCAGAAGAATATCGTTGATAATAATCAGAAGAAATCGACTCATTTGGTTGGTAACTACATTCGAACTCGCGCAGCTGTTGCGAGAGAAGCAGAAGCAGTAGCAGTAGTTGGTGTTGTTGAAGAGGAGAGAGAAAAAGTTGTTAAGGATCCTCCGAGAACTAGGTTAGCTGTGAAAAAGGGCAAATTTAAGGAACAAACAACAAACAACAACAAAAGGGTAATCAATAATACTAAGAATAATAGTGGAAAGAAGAAGAAGGTTGTTGATAAGGTTGTACCAGTGGTTGTGATATCGGAGAAGGAAAGTGAGTTAAACGAGAGAGAATCAGAAGTCAGAGAAGAAATGTTGGGAGATGATAGTGGTGGTTTAAGTGCTAATAATAAGGGAACTGGACATGATGATGATGGAAATAAATCCCCTTTTCCTGAAAGGGTAATCTTTTTTAAAACGAATTTCATTTGATTTTGTTAAATGAGTTGATTTTGAATAATGATTTTGTGGTTTTTTTATTGATATATGTTGATTTGAATTGAATTTGTGAATCGAGTCGATTTTATATGAATGATGGTGTGATTTTTTGATCGATGTTTTTGGTTTTGCTGTTGTTTTTGTAGGTTCAAGTGGGTGCTTTTCCTATTTATAAAGTAGAAAGGAAGAAAGGTGGGTTTGGTCAGGTGTTTGTTGGCCGTCTTGTTAACGGTGGGAATGAACGCGCCACCGGGTCTGGGGCTTTGGAGGTATGTATCATGTTAATGGTGTTTTGGAATATCTGTATTTTTTGGCATGTTTATTGTTATTCATGTTGATCAATTTTGGGTTTGTTTTGGATGCACAATGAATACTTTGGCAAAATGGAAAGTGCTTTCTTTTATAAACATTATCTGCTCAATTTGAGTTCTTTTTGTATTTAAGAATAAAAGTAATATCAAGGTTGATTTCAATTGTATGGGAATATATTGACTTTTTGTATTATAACAATAAGCTACTGAATCACATGATTAATATTTAGCTTCAACTGGGTGGTTCTGGAACAATTGAATTAATATTAGCAAAAGCATCTACAGGCCCGTCCCTGAGGCAGGGCAGGAGGGGCCTAAATTGTTCATATATCCTGGTGAATTTAGGCCGCATATGAGTATTAATCCTAATATTATTAAAAAGTAAAATTATAACACAATATGAAACTAGGCATGCATATGAGTATGTGGCAACGGCAATATACAACCACCATATCCAACCATGTAATGTAATTAAACTAACATTATATCATAGAATGAATCGATGATTGAATGGGTGAATTTATCAAAATTTTCAGGTTTTAGGAAAATATCCAACACTTGCTCCTTGCAGCAAGAGGCCGAGTTGGTCTTGGTCTATTCCCAGAGAAATTATGTTTCACATCTTTTTATTTCTTCGTGCTTCACTTCTTCAGGAGATTGTGAGGTTCGTTTGCAAGGAGTGGAATGCTATTATCTCTGACCCGCTCTTTATTAGAGCCCACCTTCTTCAGTCCATGTCATCTCCTGCTACTACTGGTTTCCTTATTCAAGACGATGACCTGGATGATGCTAAGCTAAAACAGGCCTATTATGTTCACCCATATGATCGTGTTGTCAGTATACTTAAGCTTCCATTTGAGGCCTTCATTTTGGCTTCTTGTAACGGACTACTCTTGCTTCAAAATGCCTTCATTCCAAAAGAATTGTCTGTAGTGAATCTTGTAACTAAAGCCAACATCAGTCTCCCTCCCCTGTCCCTCACCCTGCCAAAGGTATGCATTTATCGTAAACCTTCTGCTGTTCTAGCATTTGCACCTTCTTCTGGTCGATACAAAGTCTTTTGTCCTTGTTTCGTCCCCAAATATCCACGTTCACCATATCGTCAACGTGAAAAAAATGATGATCATCTTGCCAGATTTGAAGTTAAGGTTATGGTATGGACAGTAGCTGTTGATGAAACTTGGAGGGCTATTGACATTGACTGTCAAGGCATTACTATGAGTAACAAGGCAAAGCAGACACTACTGAGTCATCCGTTTTCTATTGCAGCGGGGTATGTCTATTGGTTTGATATATGTCACTCTCTTGGTTTTGCCTTGGATATAGATGCTGAAACCATGTATCAATTCGAAGGGCCAGAAGATAGCGTTATCAACAGCAAGGAGAAGACTTACTGTATACCAATGGACACCGGTGGTGCAGGTATAATATATTGGCAAAACCCTAGTAAGTTTTGGAAAGTCTGGGAAATGATAGGACCGAAAACTGGCCCTTGGGGTAGATGTATGAATTTCGATGCAGCTGGTATGTATTTGGCGCTTCAGAGACATTTCAATCCCTCAAAGTTTGGAGTCGCTATACCTCTTTATATGAGCTTGAAAACTGGGGAGTTTTGGTTTTTTGGCTTTGTGGAAACCAAGCATAGCATGTCCTTTGCGTTGGTTTGTTATAATTGGAAGACGGGAAGTGTTTGGTCACCTCCCCCTAGGTGGCGAAGATATTTTGACTTCCCACATCTTCACGTAAACAGCTTGCTATCACTGAAGAATCTCTAGTTGTACGTGGAACGGCGATCACTTTGAAGAAATGAAGTGCAAGTGTTGTGTAGTTCGATGGATACATGCATGTGGATATGGAGACTCAACAAATTTGACGTTGCTGTTTAAGTTAAATATTATTCACCCCCTTCCCCCCCCCCCCCTCCCCCCAAAAAAAAATTAAAAAATTGTTGTTCAGGTCGCTTGGACCTAATGTTTACAATTTGATGTAGACTTGATTGACATCATCATGTAAGTTATTTGTACTTCTCTTCCCCCATTTGTTGTTACTGATCACTTTGTACTCAACAATTTAATGTATGTGGGAATTGGAGATTAGATTGATGTCTTAATGTATTTTACTGCTTTTCTCATTTCAAGAAGGCCAAAATGGAGGCATTAGTAACTAGTAAGTAGAGCGACACAGAACAATTCCACACAGGTGTGCTGGTGTATAGTATGCACATGATTTAATTTCTTGGCCGGTGCTGGCTAGAATGAGTTCTTATATGTCTTCTGCCGCCCTCTATCAGTCCTGGACGATCCAATGTGTTCCAAGGAATGAATCAGTAGGTGGTTCCATTGTCCAGTTGCTGTGAAACTCACTTGGATGAAACACTCTCTTCTTCACTGTCCACAGACTTTACACCTGATTCAGATCATCGCTGCTAAGTATAAGTTCTCCTTCAGATCAGATAGTATGCTCCCAGTAGCTTATTCTTTATCAGCAGCCTGCTGCTTGCAACAGATGGGCAAAACACTAAATTGAGTCTTTCATTCGGAATGAAATTGAAGTGGATTATCTGGAGGTATTAGGGAATATAACAAGCTTTGCTGATTGAGCTACAAGCGGGTTCGCTGAAGGGAATACTTTCTGTCTTTTTATTGGACTTTGGTCAGAAAGGCAACTGGTGAACCAACTGCTCCAGGTGAATAAATATATCTAAGTGTGTTACTTTCATTGTAGTGTTTCTGCATGTTGATTGATTGGATTTTTGGTGATTCTTTTCTACAGATTAAAAGATGTGCGGAGATGGCTCTTAGATTGCGATATTTCAAGAAACAAGTATCGACTCCACCAAGTCTTTCTCTTGGAATATTGAAATTAAAGTGGATTATCTGGAGGTATTTTGGGAAACCTTCTTTCTTTTTAGGCAAATTTCACATTTGCTATCAGGGAAATGACCCTAATTCACATTTGCTACCCCTTTAATTTTTTATTTTATTTTACTACCACCCAAATCCCAAAATTTTAGATATCACTACCATTTGACGGATGCCGTTACTATTTCCGTAAGTGAAGCCCAACCACCGTCCAACCACCTCACCGCCATCGCTCCATCTTCAACCACCCTCATTGCCACCATCCAACCTCCATTTCACAGTGAGGGAGTGAGGGAGTTATGGCTGGAGAACTCGGGCGTGGAGTTAAGACCACCGCTAGTGGTGGCCTGAACAGGGAAGGTGTCTTCATGAGGGGCGGGTGTGGAGCAAGCGACTCTGGTGGTCCGGGCTGTTGGTTCACAAGAGAAGACGGTGGAACGATCAATACGTCTCCCTCGATGATTGGAGGACGGGATGGTGTTTTTCTAGTGGTTTTACCAGTGGTGGGATAATGTTCGGAGGTGGACTGGGCTTTTTTACCGGCGGTGAAACTGATGGTGGGAAGTTGCAATGGAGGTGGTTTCACGGTGGTTTCTAGAAGTACCCAGAAAGATAAGTTAATGGGAGATGCCTTGATGATTCATGTGCTAGCTTGGAGAGGAAGATAAAAATGGAATATGCTAGTAAGGGTATTTTGGTAATACCACTTATAGCAAATACAAAGGATTTAAATCAGCTTTGGTCACCTGCTACAAACGTGATGAAAGGCCAGCACACTAACCCAAGTACAAAAGATGGGCTTACTGACTTAAGGCCCAACTTTCCTTCTCCAACACTTATTACCCAATTAGTCAACTACCATTCTCTAGCCTTTCAACTCATCCCTTCACTTCTTATACGGCCCAACTCTTTAACCCATAAAAGCCAGCTTTGTATTTCATCAATTTCTGGAGAGAATTGCAGCCCACTCTCAGTCACTGTTGCCGAGGTCGAGAATCGTAGCCGAGGTCGGGAATCCAGTTCCGATTATAAACCACCTTGAGGACAAGGTGAAAGTTTGAGCGGCGGGTAATGCAAGGAATCAATATTTAGGGGAAGGGCACATTAGTCATAGTCTATTAGTAGTAACTTGGGGAATAAGCTAGAGGTTTGTTAGGGGTATTTTCTATAAATAGACCTCATTAGGAGGAATAATCATCATGTTGAATATAGTTAAGAAGTCTGTTGTTGACTTGTTGGAGAGCACCTTCCTCTCGAAAGAAGGCATTGTATTGTTGAACAATCAGTTTGATAATACAACTTATCCCTCTTAGCTATCCTTTTCTATCTAATTAGCTTGCTTGCTTACTGATTTGAGAGCTAATTCCTAGCAACTTTGTTCATCTCAAGGCCCATATCTAACCACTAGGACACATTTATCTTTGTTTGTTGAATTACTTTGTTACAAGTGTATCAAGTGTGAAATGCTGTGTTACAAGTGTATCATAATTATTTTGAGGAGATGCTAGGTTACGAGTGTATCGTAATTATTTTGTGTTAATGCTATCAGCAAATTGGTAATTGAATTGTCTTTAATGACATCTCTTGGTAGTTCATCTTCACTAAAAATATAATTCATTATTATATATAAAAGTTTGGGGATCACAAATTGATGGTAGTTCATCTTCAATAAAAGTAAAATTTGAGTAATTGTTTACCCCTAATTCCTTTATCACCATGTTATTTGAATATGACGTTGATAATCATTTGTCATCAGGTTGTGTGAAGGTGAAGTGTTGCTGAATTGCATACTAGCCAAGTAAGCAATAATCTACTCTGCCAGCGATTCATGATTGTACCTGGTGATGTGACAATATGTATGTGTGCTAATGCTAATTTCTTATGTTACTAAAATCAGAAAGGATAACCGATATTCAGAGAAAGATGCAACTGTGGTGGTCCGTCAGTTGCTGAAAGTTGCTGCTCATTGCCACTTACATGGTCTGGTAGCACCGTGATATGAAGCCCGAGGTAGATTTTCTTTTGAAAATATGGACCTTACATTTCAATTGCAGTAGATGAATTATGATGGAAGTTTATGTTTTATTCCAATGTGCTGCTTGTTTGTAGAACTTTTTTTTTTCAAAGCGCCTGAAGAGATTTCATCTTGAAAAGTTGAAAGGCCACAGACTTTGGATTATCAGATTTCATAAAACCTGGTGAGTAGAAAGGGGAATGTCAATATGCACTTGCTGCTTGTGGGTAGACATTTCTCTTGTCCAACCTGACTTATATTTGATTTATCGCAAACGTTTGACAATGTGGCACAAACATTTTGCTTCCTATAGAGAAAATATTCAAAGATTTTGTTGGCAGTGCCTACTATGTTGCCCCAGAAGTACTGAAAAGAAAGTCAGGCCTAGAGTCTGATGTCTGGAGTATTAGTGTCATCACCTAAATGGCTAAATGTTGCTCTGTGGAAGACGTCCATTTTGGGGCGAAACTGAAGATGGTATATTCAAGTAGGTACGCGAAAATGTATTTTTACATGCTTTCACTAGCAAGTACACCTTATAAATTTAATGAATAGCAAGCTTTATAATAGCAGTTAAAGAAGATGTGTGTAATGTTGTGCTTTCACATTTTGGACTTTTGGAGTTAGCAACGGCATATCGCATTATAATGTGATTGTTACTAGGAATATAATACCGAATGCGGATGAGTCGGTTGGAAAAATTATATATGAACAACTTTTAACATGCTCAGCCACATTAGTATCTGCACGCATGAAATATCGATTTATAATTTTTGGTTTATATTCTGATAAATCTTGAGTCAAGATGAGATTGATTAAATTAAGCTTAATTGATGGCTTTGTAGGAAGTAAAATATAGGAGACTATATATTAGATATTTAGTATATACAAGACTTTTAGTAAACAGGTTGATGCAATTTGCAGTTTGGTTTATCGTAAAACAAACATGAATCATTTCCTGAAGCATTGCAGTTCACGGAGACGGATACGCTTGCTATTATCGGCCCCCAATCTATGAATTTGATATATATATGACCTATGCCTATCTTTATAATGCTTTGCGTCGAACTTATACCATTACTTCATCAGATGGGTTAATCTTTTTCATAATATTGATTTGACAAATTCATATTATCATAATCTCACGGAGGAGGAGCTTTCTCGTGTTCATGATTGCAATATTGACCATCTTGGTGAGTTTACATAGGTTACCATTAAGATTACCCTTTTTGTATGATGGTCTAAAGGTTTCAACTCTGGAAACAATTCCTTGTGGAATGAATGAATATTTGAGATGAATGAATATTTAGTGATTAGATTTTTGGAATTCTTCTGATTTTTAGGTATATACTCTATATTTTAATTCTTCTATATGTAGTCTCTATTTGAATAGATGGTGTATTTAGCTGTATATATGTATATGGCATACCCTTTACATATGGCTGTGACATTTGTGACTATTAAATGTATCTGTGTTGAAAATGCATTTGATTCTGAATTCTAAGTTGTATTCTGGTAAATTAGGTTGCTTGACTGCTTGTAGTCTGTCAAACAAGCCAAAGGAAACAGTAGTTTAATATGATGCTTCTGATGTTGATGATGAACTTATATATATCACTTCCTTTGGCTTGTTAGACATCAGAAGCATCGTCAAGTGATCAATCTATAATCTGAGACAGTTTCACATTCACTCATCAGGCTCAGAATTAGCCGTTCAGCTAAAATTTCACACATTAGCCTTCCGAGAAAAGTACATCAAGCTGATTAAATATTTTTATCTCACGAACAACTTCTGCAATATACTCCAAATTTCCAAGTTTCGAATAGCTCGGTGTTAAGTAGTCGTTTTCTTAACCTATAATCTCTAGCTTTTGGAAATTTTGTCTTGCATTATAAAATTTAATTGATTAACATATATGCATGATTTTTTCTGGCAATCATGCTTTTGGTTCAGGGATTTCTTCTGAATAGAACACTATTCATGTAAATTAGCTCAAAAATCATTTTGTTACAATTTTGGTTGTTTGAGCACTTAACTACAACTTTGGATGGCTCATTGTTCATTCTGTTTGATGCAGAGTCCCCCATCCTTGGAAGAGTAGGAAAACTTGAGAGCATATCACGGAACAGCCTCTGGTTTGTCAACAGGGCTGCTGGTTGGATTAAATCTTGACACATCAAGCCCTGATACTTTCTGATCTCCTCCTGCACCCATTCCGTTCAATGTGCTTTTTGGGCTCCCACAAACTCCATTCTGTACTCTTGGAAACCAAGCATCTAATAAAATTGATACAACCAAACAGCTGAAACCTGCAGGCATTGCTGAAAATGTTGTTGCCGATAACTCTGATATATTGACTCCTATTGATCATGTTGGGAAATCTGAAGGAAAAACTCTTGCTGATATATTGCTTGCCTCACCGTCAAAGTCTGATGTGGAAATTTCAAAACCTACTAAGGCTTATGAGTTAGTCCCTTAGGAAAGGATACATGTCTTATCTGTCTTGAAGGTACTAGATTTTCTATTATAAAGTAATGCGTTGTATAAACCCTCGAATGTTGACAAATTGTGAGCATGATTTTCAATTGTCATGCCTTCTAGAGTGGATGGAAAGAAGTGATGCCTTTCTAGTCTGTGATAAGGTCTGAATCTAGCACAAGTCATAATAATATTTGTATAAGCTATTATTATGCTGTGATCATAATTTAGGAATGAGTCTATTCTGATGGGTCTGTTCTGATGTTATTTGTATAAGCTATAATTATGCTGTGATCAAAATTCCGGATGAATTATAGGTTCATTCGATTATTCAATCAAAGATTAATGATAAGGATTCAATGTCTTTTGAAAAATATCATAGTGAAATGAGTAACTAGAAAGATTTTCGTGTCAAAGTGTTAGAATCCAACTCCTTTTGATGTATTAGATTCCATTTAAGTGCTTTCCTAGAGTTTAGGTTATGTTTTCTTTGCTTGAGGTCCCATTATTGTGTTACTGTCAGATCAGTGTTCACTAGGGATTCTCCTTGTATGTCATTTAAAGCTCTTTAGAGGGCGAATGATTAATGAAATCTTAAAGCCTTCTACCAAGTGTTGCCTTGCTTTTATGCTTGTTTGTTGTTAGACCTTTATAGATATTGTGTCTTACTTGCATATTAGCTCCCCTCCAACCCAACTTGATGCGCTAAGGACTCGTGGTTCGGACCCGCTTGTGCCCGCTTTGAAGTATCGGCCGTCACAAGCCCCGACCACCCGCACTCCGTCGCCCAGATAGACGTGAGTGCTCCTGAGATTCTATTGCCCGCTTGTGTTGCTTTGTGCTCACAAGCCCCTCTTCCGCTCAAGGCTAGCGTTCTTGCCGCCAAAAGGCTAGAGCGCGCCGCACGTTTTGGGGTCCAAACTCCCGGACCGTGACACAAAGACATATTAGCATCTTTATGCTACTTGTTATGCTACCTACATGCTATATCTTATTATCCTGCTTGCAAATTCATATTATGACACAATTATAATTAGCCTTACACAATCACTATCTCCTTCATATTATATGCTTATGTATTCAGGATCATCTTTAATTCTCTCATAATCATCCTAACGGAGCGATTACTAAAAAATCATATTACATTTAAGTATAACGACGTTGAAACGCGGTGCGCATCGCGTGGCGTGCAACTAGTTTCTCAAAAATTCTTCTGCCTTTTTCTTATTCCCTAGACTTAACTAAGCTAAGATGAGCTTGTTAGCACTGCTGTATGTTGTCTATGCTTTTATCTCATTTGTTGCTTGTTTTCTTAAGCTTGATGGTTTGGTTTTTCACTTTTGTTGTATTTTGGACTGATCATTTGTCTAAGTTGTTCTATATCTTTAATAGAAGATATAAGATATGAATGGTGGATGTGACAGAATATAGGAAATTTGGTCCTGAAAATTGGATTCATTTAATGAAAGCTTTTGATCATATTGTAAAAAGAAATAAACATTAAGAATTGCAGTTTATCTTGTTTTGATTGTTTTCTGTTAGTGTAGCTGATATCTAATTGGTTAGCCAACTAAAACTGCCTGAATTAGAAACTGTGAATTTGTATTGCAATGGCTTGTAGCAATCGCAAGTACTCCCTTTGTTCCCAAAAGTTGTTCCTGTTTGAAATCTTGTGACCAAATCTAAACGGGAACAACAAGGAGTAGAGGGAGTATATAATACTAGTCAAAATTAGCTTAGGTTCAATTGAATAGCAGTGTTCTGTTAAACTTACTCTGGAATTTTAGTACTAGTCTAGATTATTGTCCCTATGTTTGGTTGTTGAATGTCACTTGGAACACCAGACCATAAGTTTTGGTGCTCGGAATGGGTATTGGAATTTTGGATTCTGAAATTTGATTCCCTAAAGCAGTTCAAAAATGTACTACTATACAATGTACCACAAACCAATATGCTCGTGATTGTGATTTCCGGGGTGTGGGGATAACGAATAAACGAATTATACATTTATTGAATTAGACAGCATGATCCTCCCCCTTTAAAAGGTTACTTTATGTTAGGTTTGGTTATATGTGGTGGTGCTTGTGATCTCGAGTACTGACATACCAAGTATATCTTTTTTTTTTTACTTGTATCATCAATTTGATGGTGATATTTGATCTTGAGAGTTGCACCTAGATGTATACATCCCCTATATATGTTGCATAAGTTTTTATTGTATCGACAATGTGATAGTTAACCATGTTCCATGATCAAGTATACTTCTACATGTTTAATGTTTAAATACTGAATTTTAACTTCGCAGAAATCTATTGCTTCTCCTGCACGTGGCATTCTTGCCATTGATGAATCGAATGCAACTTGTGGGAAGAGACTGGCATCAATTGGCTTAGATAACACTGAGAACAATCGTCAGATGTATAGGCAGCTCTTACTGACAACTCCTGGTCTTGGCGAACACATTTCTAGTGTCATTCTGTTTGAGGAAACACTCTACCAGTCTACAACGGATGGCAAGAAATTGTCGACTGCTTACTTGATGAGAATGTCGTGCCTGTCATCAAGGTCGACAAGGTATGACAGTTTGAACGTCTTCCACATTCGATTGTTACTTGTAAATACTGATCAATGACCTCATTTTATGTCCTCACTCTTTGCATTGCAGATGTTGGTTCCTCTGCCAGGCTCAAACAATGAATCTTGGTGCCAAGGGTTAGATGGCCTGGCTTCAAGGTCTGCTGAGTATTATAATCAGGGTGCTCGATTTGCAAAATGGTAAGCCATCTCAGATCCACTAGACCTATGCCTCCATGAGATTAATGGTTGGCGATATTAAATCTTCATTTACATGTCCTGAAACGTCTTTCTGATTAAGAATATGATATTTCTCTTATTATGCAACTTTTGCAAATGACTTATGCTTGTTTGGATGCAATAATGTAGGCGTATTCCATGTGAACCTTTTGCTTTGGCAGTTAAGGAAGCTGCTTGGGGAATCGCTCGTTATGATGCTATCTCTCAGGTTCATACTAAGCTTTCTTTGCTTTATGTTCCATTCTCCATGCTTCAGTTTGAGGTGGAAGTGGTGGCCTGGTGGGTGGTGAATTGGTGATGGTCTGATGGTATATGGTATATGTCTTTGTTCAACCTTTTGGATCTATTATTCTATATCTGGCGTATCAACTAGCTTCAAGACTAAACAACCTACATACAAACTTTTCAACCTGTACTGAAGAATGGATCAGTTGCTTTCAGGCTGCCACTATGCTCCCTGAATTCTGCTTAAATTGAAATTAACCATCATGGACTCAATTATTATGCAAAATTGACATGGACACCATTGGAAAGGGGTTTAGGTGCCAAAGTATACAGTTAAGATGATACAGCTTAAGAAATAGTAGTTTGGCAAGTTTAGAGATGTAGAGAAATCACCAATTCTTCTTCCCACCACGCTTCCCAACTCTCCTCACCCTTAACACCAATTCCACCTCTATAAAGAAGCCAATCTGTCCAATCACTGAAGTCTTCCACAGTCCTAGACATAACAAATGGAAACATGAATTAGTATAATTAAATTAAGCAAAGTTGTTGATGTCCACAAAAGCTAGATAGCTTTTAAGTCACAAACCCCCCAACTTACTTTTGCCACTCGAAACCGGATGGATTGAACAGGTAGGGAGCAAATAGCCAAGAGAGGGCCATAAACCAACTGCTGATAGAAAGCAGAATGTAGCCTATCGCACCACCATCATTATAGCCATAAGCAAGAAAAACAATCAACAAAAGCACAACTTCAAGCCTGCAATGAGAAAGCCATACAGCTCAAAGACTGTTCAAGACACTATACGAGCAACATGACAAGGAGAAAAGGATATACCCTTTGACAAAATGACTCCGGGAATAAAGCCTGTAGTTTTCGCTCAACTTTATATGCCGGACAAAAAAAACCCCTCCCAGTTGCTTGATACTGTTTTTCTAACAATAATGTTTTTCTATAAATGCCATCTTAAGAGTGAAGAAATTTCTAGATCAATAACCTCATCTCAAGCTTTAAAAAAAACAATTCATGTCATAATGACAAATGATATAAATAAAGTTGCCTAAGTAAATACAAAACCATCAAAAGTATTATTTAAAATTAATATAAAAACACTATAATATAAAATCCAGCCAGTCACACACAGCATGATATATCTGCCAGGTAAATGTGGTATTGACACTAGTAGAATTGTCAACCTACCAGATAAAGAAAGATGTACACTGTCAGCACCGTCAACTGCAGAAAAATGAAAGGAAAAAGATAACTCAGTAACAGCAGGTTGCTGCACAACTTGACAGTAGAAGTTCAATGAGGAAAGGGCAAAAGGTCATCTGACATGGAACATTAGAATGACAGTTGGAGATTCATGAAAATTGAGTACTAAGCCAAAATAAGTAAAGAGGCCAATAGAAACCACATAAGATGCATACATACCATAGAGCTGCAATTTACATGTCATAAACTAAAATTAAATTTATAAAGTACATATCATAAAGTTGTAAGGTACAAGTTTGAAATTTTGAACCTTGATTATGAAACAAATTATACACACACACACACACAAAAGGGCAGCCCGGTGCACATTGGCATCCCCGCGAGGTGAGGGTCCGGGGAAGGGTCCCACCACACACACACACATAACTATAAAATTAAAATATATATCTTAAAAGTATACCAAACAATTATAAGGTAGTTCTGTAAATGTGTCAAAATAATAATAATAATAATAATAATAATAATAATAAATAAATAAATAAATAAAATTATAAATTACAAATTTTGGTACAATTCAGGAGTTCATTTCTTATATCTATAATGTACACGTCCTAAAAGTACAAGGTATATGATAATATACAAATTTGAATTTTAAACCTTGATTAATGAACAAATCACACACACAAATGATGAGTTTGAAATTTTGAAGGTACAGGTCTTAAGAGTATATAAAAATTAATTAAGTTACATGTTTGAAATTCAAACCCTAGTTATTTAACAAAACACATGGACCAAAAGTATGCTATTAGTAAGAGACCCTTAAAAATAACATAAACCTAACCTAATAGACTAGTATAACTAGTGATTCATAAAGTACAACTCCTGATAAGGGTTTGAAATCTTTGAATGTATCTAATCTTGTTAGAAAACCTACCTGAGAATATATCTTCACTGATATTTATAACACGAGAAGCCTTGCTTATACCATCACGTGTTATATTATCGAAAACATCTGGGTGTCCATAATGGCATAATGCAAGATATTTGGCACCAGCTCATCAGTACTAAATAGAAGTGTAAAACCATAAACAAATTCCCTTCTAAAAACAGCTTACTTCAGCGGATTAGACATGAAGGAAGCCAAAGAAGAAACACTGCATAACAATGGCAAAAATGGTCGAATGAAAATCAGTATAATTTTAAGGAAAATTTTCAAAAAACAACCCAAAAATGTGTTGAATTTCTAACTAACCACCCAAAAATAATTTATTTTAAAATACCACCCATTAAATTAATTTTTTGCTCAGATTCCCACCCAATTTGAAAATCTGGTGGTTTTTTAGCTTGTGGGGCCCACATAACGGCTATTAACGGCTAGTGTATGCTTTTATTTATTTTCTTCCCCCGATTTTTCCTATACAAGTGTATTCCTTATTCAATTTTTGCTCCTAAACAAAATTTTTCCCCAAATTACACAAAATTAAGATTGCTTCTAATTGCATTTGCATCTGCAGCAACGACATCACTTGAATTCGCACAAGGTAATCTCAATTATCTGGAAAAATTAGGGTTCTTGCAAAATGTTAATTGGGGGAATTTGTGGGATTCATTAATTAGGGTTCCACATAATTGCAAATATACCATCAACAACCAACAACCTTCAACATTAAACACAAACAACAAAATTGCTTACCTCTTTCGACGCCATTGCACTGAGCTATTGTCAGGTTCCTCACCTGAGCTCCTGGTCCCCTGTAAACAGCAAAAGATGGCGACTTTTTTGCAATTAAACAACCCCACTTCAAGCAATTACTCTAGATTAATTCCTGTTGCAAGTACAATTAGGGTTTTAATGTCGAATTTAGGGTTCTGAATTGAACAATGCACAGCAATTTATGAAGAAAGGGGGAATTCGCTGAAAAAAGGAGTGAAATTTGATTGTAGAATAGGGTTAGTTGGGAGAATTGAATGAGAAAGAGAGTGAAAGACAGTGAAGTCGAGAGAAAAGGGAAAAAAAAAGAGGGAAATAACTAAACTGGGCCCCTTAAGCTAAAAAAACCACCGGATTTTCAAATTGGGTGGGAATCTGAGCAAAAAATTAATTTAATGGGTGGTATTTTAAAATAAATTTTTTTTTGGGTGGTTAGTTAGAAATTCAACACATTTTTGGGTGGTTTTTTGAAAATTTTCCTAATTTTAAACAAGAAAAACTATGGAGTTTGGTGCGTGGGAATTGCAGACCAAGAGGACAGTGGTGGACCTAGAAATTTGACAATGGGGGGACAATTTCGATAATTCAACTAACATCAACCTATTTAAAAAAAACGGGTACACAATACAAGTAATTTGGGTTTGGTTGGGAAATAGGAATAAGGGAGTAGTCGAGTGGTATGGTTGAAATAAAACACCCCCCCAAAAAAAGGAGTGATGTTACAAGGGGGATTCGAATGCCATATTATCTTGTGATGTTAATTTCTTAGCAAATATTTTAGTCTTGCTATTTTGTGATGTTAATCATAAAATAGCAAGACTAAAATGGGTTCTTAGTCACATCACTCCAATTCCAGCTGAAGGGGACCCTTCATTTGAAGACATGCAACAATGGATACACATTGATGAGAAGTGGTTTTTTATAAACCCAGAAACAAGGACATTCTATCTTCTTCCAACAGAAGACAATCCATACAGAGCACAACAGTCCAGAAGGTTTAAGGTGAAGGCTATGTTTATGGGCATGATAGGGAAACCATTGTATGATGCAAATAAACAACTTTTACATGATGGGAAGTATGGTCTATTCCCTTTTATGAAGTATGAGGAAGCAAAGAAAAAGAGTAAAAACAGAGACAAAGCCAGGGGACCATAGAGGCTAAGGCAATCCAGAGTATAAACAAGGAGGAAATAAGGGACATGCTAGTTAATCATGTGTTGCCCACAATACATGCACAATGGCCCCCACAGCTGCCCAAGGACATAACTATTCAATGGGACAATGCTAGGCCTCACCAAATACCACAAGATCTAGAATTTAAAGTAGCATGTCAAGCATATGGATTCAACATACAGTTTGTTTTTCAACCAGCTCAATCACCAGATATGAATGTTCTAGACTAAGGACTCTTCAATGTCATTCAATCACTGCAGTATCAGTCATTCCCTCAGAATTTAGATGATCTTATCAAAGAAGTTGAAATAGCATTCAAAGGATTTGATCCAGAGTTGAACAAATACAGTTGGATTACACTACAGTCATGCATGATTGAGGTATTAACAAGAAAAGGAGGAAACAACTACACACCATCACACATGAAAAAAAGAAGTCTATACAGGCAAGGTATTCTACCAGATTTGCTAGAGGTAGACAAGGAACTAATTGCAGAAGTTGTTAACTATCTTAATTCAATCACAATCCCAAGTACTGGTGCAAATGAATTCCAAATGGAAGTTGATGCAGATTGAAGAATACATGGAAGCAAACTCATACCAGCTAAGGCAAAGACTGCCACACATAACCAGTACAATCTTAACATGTTTTTTTGTTGTTTTTGTTGGTATTGGTTAGGTGTATTTTGGTACATAATTAAGTTACACATTCTTAGACAGTCTTGTATGCTACTTAAGTTTGGTTTTGTAAAAAACACAACCTTTTGTTATTAATGCAAACATAACCTTTTTTTCTCACTAATCATCCATCAGAAAGGGTTACAGTTATCTTTCAAGGCATCAATGAGTTATGGTACCTCAATAGAAACCTCAAACAGAGGTAACTAGAGCAGCCATGACACTCAAATAGCTATCAGATGAGTCCCTTCATCATTTGGATGGGTTTCAATACGATGCAAGTTGTGTGGAGGGGACTCAATGCATCACACAAAGGGGACTCGTCAACAAAATCATACCAGCATTCCACCAACGCACCAGCACAACTAATCAAGTCAACCAATAGACCAATTCATATCCAAACAACAATTCATACCCAAACAACCAACAATTCATACCCAAACAACAAATCCAAACATAACAGGGGACTCATCAATTCATACCCAAACAACCAACACTAGCAGAAATAGCATAACAAAAAACAAGGGTCTCATCAATAGCATAATTAACCACAAATTGGAACAAAAGAAGAAGATTAGGGTATTAGAAATTACGCTGCCCAATTAGTATGGGGGAAGGGACTACTGGGGGTAGTAGATTTGGAGGTAAGCCACCAGTACGTCATCTGGATCCTGTCCCCTTGGTAAGCCGGATCTCAGGCGCTTAGTACCAGCGCTAGGGCCAGACGTACTCCCACCCATCATGGGATGGGAACCGGTGGCTGAAGGATTTCCCCAGCAGTCAGCTCCTGGAACAAAGAAGACCAAGTTTCAGAATTGGCGTCTAGTGGTGGTGAAGCAGCTGGAACAGCCACCACAGCAGCAGATCCACCCTCTTTGGTGGAAACAACCTCCCGATCTAGGCCGAGAGATGGCGGAACAGGCCTTTTAGACCCAGAACACTTTGTCGGCTTCTCATCCTCGTCGCTTGAGATGTATTCAGCAAGCTTCGCCCCTACAATCTTTCTACGAGCAATTACAGAAGCACGACGGAGTGGCTTCATCACACCAGAACCACGACGAGGTATACACGTGGTAGCACCAGGTTTAGGTGGGGATCGTGTGGATCCAGAAGAAAGGGACTCATGGCTTACCAGATCTATAATTTTTGGTTGAGAAGAAGACATTTTAAGGGTGAATTAAGGTGAATCGTAGTTGAAAACCTAGAAAACGAAGAGAGAGAAAGAGGAAAAAACCCAGAATTTTTGAGGAGAAAGAGGAGGCGAAGAGGAGAGAGAGTAAGAGAGTGACAAATTTAAAAAGGTAGGGTTTGGGGAGGTGGGGTTTCTGGAAAAAAATTCCAGAATTTAATTGACTCAACCATTTTTAATCTAAATTGAATGCAGATTCAATGAAGGTAGTTGAGTGATGAAGGAATTTAAAGGAGAATGGGTAAATTTGGTGGGAATAGTTAGGTTAATTAATTAAAACATAAAACTAAGGGTTCGTTTGGCATCGCTGTGGTTTTCTGTTTTTTTGGTTTTTTTGTATTTTAAAAGTATATTATATATGTCACATAATGAATCAAAAAATATTTAGACTTATTAAAATCATGATAATTTTGAAAACTGACAACAGAAAAGTGGAAACACCTTTTTCTTATTTCCTGTTTTTGGTTTTTAGTTTAAAAAAAAAACAGGAAACTGAAAACTAAAAATGATGCCAAACAAACCCTAAGCAAATGAAATTAGGAGTGTTAATAAGATAGATTAGGAAAAAAGTAAGGGCATATATGTCATTTTACAACCCAAAAGTTACCAAATAAGGGAAAACAAAAAATTTGTTGTAGGTAATTTGAACCACCCAAAATGAAAATTGTTGCAAGTAAAATGAACCGGAGGTAGTATATAATAATTAAAGAAAAAAGAAAAATCAGACTTCATCTCCGTTCTCTCTCATCATCGTACACACTCGAACTTACAAAGTACAAACCCTAATTAGCAAAAACTCACCCTTTCATTAAATCTCCCAAATTCCGATTCCAATTCCAATTCGAAACTTCTTTTCCCCCAAATCACTCTTCAAAACCCTACATTTTCGTTTTTCAATCGAAATTTCGAATCGAACTCAAAAAAAAAAGCAAATCGGAATCCTATTCAAATTTGAGGTAATAGATCGAATGATGGGTAACACTAGCGAAAACACAGAATCACAAAAATTTCGATTGTATGGGAAGACGAAAATGCCAGAGCTTCAACGTGGAAATTCAGTCAAAACGACGACGAATAAGAAGCAGAAGAATATCGTTGATAATAATCAGAAGAAATCGACTCATTTGGTTGGTAACTACATTCGAACTCGCGCAGCTGTTGCGAGAGAAGCAGAAGCAGTAGCAGTAGTTGGTGTTGTTGAAGAGGAGAGAGAAAAAGTTGTTAAGGATCCTCCGAGAACTAGGTTAGCTGTGAAAAAGGGCAAATTTAAGGAACAAACAACAAACAACAACAAAAGGGTAATCAATAATACTAAGAATAATAGTGGAAAAGAAGAAGAAGGTTGTTGATAAGGTTGTACCAGTGGTTGTGATATCGGAGAAGGAAAGTGAGTCAAACGAGAGAGAATCAGAAGTCAGAGAAGAAATGTTGGGAGATGATAGTGGTGGTTTAAGTGCTAATAATAAGGGAACTGGACATGATGATGATGGAAATAAATCCCCTTTTCCTGAAAGGTAATCTTTTTTAAAACGAATATCATTTGATTTTGTTAAATGAGTTGATTTTTGAATAATGATTTTGTGGTTTTTTGATTGATATATGTTGATTTGAATTGAATTTGTGAATCGAGTCGATTTTATATGAATGATGGTGTGATTTTTTGATCGATGTTTTTGGTTTTGCTGTTGTTTTTGTAGGTTCAAGTGGGTGCTTTTCCTATTTATAAAGTAGAAAGGAAGAAAGGTGGGTTTGGTCAGGTGTTTGTTGGCCGTCTTGTTAACGGTGGGAATGAACGCGCCACCGGGTCTGGGGCTTTGGAGGTATGTATCATGTTAATGGTGTTTTGGAATATCTGTATTTTTTGGCATGTTTATTGTTATTCATGTTGATCAATTTTGGGTTTGTTTTGGATGCACAATGAATACTTTGGCAAAATGGAAAGTGCTTTCTTTTATAAACATTATCTGCTCAATTTGAGTTCTTTTTGTATTTAAGAATAAAAGTAATATCAAGGTTGATTTCAATTGTATGGGAATATCTTGACTTTTTGTATTATAACAATAAGCTACTGAATCACATGATTAATATTTAGCTTCAACTGGTGGTTCTAGAACAATTGAATTAATATTAGCAAAAGCATCTACAGGCCCGTCCCTGAGGCCGGGCAGGAGGGGCCTAAATTGTTCATATATCCTGGTGAATTTAGGCCGCATATGAGTATTAATCCTAATATTATTAAAAAGTAAAATTATAACACAATATGAAACTAGGCATGCATATGAGTATGTGGCAACGGCAATATACAACCACCATATCCAACCATGTAATGTAATTAAACTAACATTATATCATAGAATGAATCGATGATTGAATGGGTGAATTTTATCAAAAATTTTCAGGTTTCAGGAAAATATCCAACACTTGCTCCTTGCAAGCAAGAGGGCCGAGTTGGTCTTGGTCTATTCCCAGAGAAATTATGTTTCACATCTTTTTATTTCTTCGTGCTTCACTTCTTCAGGAGATTGTGAGGTTCGTTTGCAAGGAGTGGAATGCTATAATCTCTGACCCGCACTTTATTAGAGCCCACCTTCTTCAGTCCATGTCATCTCCTGCTACTACTGGTTTCCTTATTCAAGACAATGACTGGATGATGCTAAGCTAAAACAGGCCTATTATGTTCACCCATATGATCGTGTTGTCAGTATACTTAAGCTTCCATTTGAGGCCTTCAATTTTGGCTTCTTGTAACGGACTACTCTTGCTTCAAAATGCCTTCATTCCAAAAGAATTGTCTGTAGTGAATCTTGTAACTAAAGCCAACATCAGTCTCCCTCCCCTGTCCCTCACCCTGCCAAAGGTATGCATTTATCGTAAACCTTCTGCTGTTCTAGCATTTGCACCTTCTTCTGGTCGATACAAAGTCTTTTGTCCTTGTTTCGTCCCCAAATATCCACGTTCACCATATCGTCAACGTGAAAAAAATGATGATCATCTTGCCAGATTTGAAGTTAAGGTTATGGTATGGACAGTAGCTGTTGATGAAACTTGGAGGGCTATTGACATTGACTGTCAAGGCATTACTATGAGTAACAAGGCAAAGCAGACACTACTGAGTCATCCGTTTTCTATTGCAGCGGGGTATGTCTATTGGTTTGATATATGTCACTCTCTTGGTTTTGCCTTGGATATAGATGCTGAAACCATGTATCAATTCGAAGCGCCAGAAGATAGCGTTATCAACAGCAAGGAGAAGACTTACTGTATACCAATGGACACCGGTGGTGCAGGTATAATATATTGGCAAAACCCTAGTAAGTTTTGGAAAGTCTGGGAATGATAGGACCAAAAACTGGCCCTTGGGGTAGATGTATGAATTTCGATGCAGCTGGTATGTATTTGGCGCTTCAGAGACATTTCAATCCCTCAAAGTTTGGAGTCGCTATACCTCTTTATATGAGCTTGAAAACTGGGGAGTTTTGGTTTTTTGGCTTTGTGGAAACCAAGCATAGCATGTCCTTTGCGTTGGTTTGTTATAATTGGAAGACGGGAAGTTTTGGTCACCTCCCCTAGGTGGCGAAGATATTTTGACTTCCCACATCTTCACGTAAACAGCTTGCTATCACTGAAGAATCTCTAGTTGTACGTGGAACGGCGATCACTTTGAAGAAATGAAGTGCAAGTGTTGTGTAGTTCGATGGATACATGCATGTGGATATGGAGACTCAACAAATTTGACGTTGCTGTTTAAGTTAAATATTATTCACCCCCTTCCCCCCCCCTCCCCCAAAAAAAAAATTAAAAAATTGTTGTTCAGGTCGCTTGGACCTAATGTTTACAATTTGATGTAGACTTGATTGACATCATCATGTAAGTTATTTGTACTTCTCTTCCCCATTTGTTGTTACTGATCACTTTGTACTCAACAATTTAATGTATGTGGGAATTGGAGATTAGATTGATGTCTTAAATGTATTTTACTGCTTTTTCATTTCAAGAAGGCCAAAATGGAGGCATTAGTAACTAGTAAGTAGAGCGACACAGAACAATTCCACACAGGTGTGCTGGTGTATAGTATGCACATGATTTAATTTCTTGGCCGGTGCTGGCTAGAATGAGTTCTTATATGTCTTCTGCCGCCCTCTATCAGTCCTGGACGATCCAATGTGTTCCAAGGAATGAATCAGTAGGTGGTTCCATTGTCCAGTTGCTGTGAAACTCACTTGGATGAAACACTCTCTTCTTCACTGTCCACAGACTTTACACCTGATTCAGATCATCGCTGCTAAGTATAAGTTCTCCTTCAGATCAGATAGTATGCTCCCAGTAGCTTATTCTTTATCAGCAGCCTGCTGCTTGCAACAGATGGGCAAAACACTAAATTGAGTCTTTCATTCGGAATGAAATTGAAGTGGATTATCTGGAGGTATTAGGGAATATAACAAGCTTTGCTGATTGAGCTACAAGCGGGTTCGCTGAAGGGAATACTTTCTGTCTTTTTATTGGACTTTGGTCAGAAAGGCAACTGGTGAACCAACTGCTCCAGGTGAATAATATATCTAAGTGTGTTACTTTCATTGTAGTGTTTCTGCATGTTGATTGATTGGATTTGGTGATTCTTTTCTACAGATTAAAAGATGTGCGGAGATGGCTCTTAGATTGCGATATTTCAAGAAAAGTTTTGACTCCACCAAGTCTTTCTCTTGGAATATTGAAATCAAAGTGGATTATCTGGAGGTATTTTGGGAAACCTTCTTTCTTCTTATTCATTTTTATGGCTCTACTCTTCTTGAATACTTGTAGCATTTGTGTTTGAAGGGAATATTACAAGCTTTGCTAATTGAGCTACTAGCGGGTTTGATTTTGTTCTTAGTTGAAACTTGCGCGAGCTAGAAGCTGTTCATTGTGATTTCTGAGATGAATTTAAGCAATGATAAGTTATAGTGCACTTATAAGGAGCTTTCTAAGTATAAACTACAGGAGGTAAGTTAATCATGATTCTATTAGCTCGTTCTTATATAAGGTTTTTTATATTTATTTTTTCTTATAAAATAGATTAAGTACCAAAATATGAGTGTAGTGGTTAAGTGGCAGGATCATGTGTGTTACTGTGATGATCAAATTGAAGCCAAACAACATAACGTCTATTAATCCTGTAGTCTGTAGATCTAAAAGGAAGTAGTTCAAGGGGTTAGACTTTAGTATAAGAGACTTGATTATCTGATAAATGAAACTAGTATTATCATCATCATCTTATTATCCTTTGCAGCAAACTTCTGGAAAATGTTAATTATTTAATTTGCAGGATCAGGATACATAGTCTGGATCATTATTCTTGTGTTATTTTTATTGGTTAAGTCAATTTGTGTGTTTTTTTATCCTTCAGGCTGGAGATTTCTTACATTCAGCTCAAAGTAGCGCGGCTTCTAGCAAAATGA